TGTCCTCTCTCGTCTTTTCTTAGAGTCTATTTCTTAGGACATGTGCAGTGCTAGTGTCCCCTCACAGGAAGAGTACTCTCAGAGATGTCAAGCACACGCGGGACTCCTCGCATACACATACGTCGGCCCCAGCCTCTGGGACAGTGTGTACTGGGACAATACCGCAGGGTTGAAATCAAGTGATAGGACATGGCAGGTTGTAAAACTGGCCCAGCCCTCCACCTCTTCCTGAATTCATTCCCCCTGCAATATGACTTTGTCACTTCTGCCTCATTTTGTCGGCCAAAGCAAGTCCTAAGGCCAACCCAGATTGAGGGGGAGAGGAGACATTCTCCCTGGCCAGGAGCAGCCGACTGCAGCTGTAGAGAGGAGTTCTGAGCCCAGGCTGCAAGGGGCCTTGTGTGTACTGCCCTCTCTCTTGGGCCCGACACGGTCATGGGAGCGAGTCAAGGCTGGCCTGCTGGAGGTGACACCCTGCAGAACAGGGAAGTCGCCCTGGCCAAGGCCTCTCTGGTCCGGCCAGTCCCTGAATGACCTGGTAGGTGAACACAGATACATGAGTAAGCACAGCCAAGAACAGGAGGGAACCCATCCCAAACTGCTGACCCATAGAATTGTGAATTAAAGAAATTGGTGGTTGTTTCAAGCTTTGGGGAGGTTTATTTTCTTGAAGCAATAGGAAAACAAAACAAAACAAAACAAAAACCCAACCTGGTACCCGATCCTGTCAGATGCAGGAATCAGTTGGACAAGAGGAGGAGGTGATGGAGAGTGTGGGCCACAGAAGGTGCCCTGCGTTCTTTCTAACTAGCTCTGGCATGCCAGGCTGCTGCAGGGCCTGCTGCCAGCGGCTCCCACCGGCAATAGTCTTAGGCGGCTTGTCCCTGGGTGACCACAGCCATCTCAGCTGGAAGTGCAGTGCCCTCCCCCGGGAGCATCCCATAACAGTATGAGAATACAAAGTGTCAGGTTCCTTGCCTCTGGGTAGGACAGTTCCTGGTGTGACTTATACTCCAGGACTCTCCTGTCACAGGACAGAGGCTGGATGTCAACAGAGACAATATCCTGCCTTAGCCCCTTCCCTTCCCTCGCCTCCTTCTGAGGGGACCCCCTTAAACAGACAAACACATCTGAAAGCCCAAGCCCGGTCTCTCTGCTCCCAGCGACTCTGGCCAAGACTCAGGTCAAGAATGAAAATCCTACAGATGCAGCTCCTTCGCAGGAGAGGCCATGCCACCGCGGAGAGCTCCCACCTCCCAGGAAGCTTGCTCCTTTCCTGGCAAGGCGGGCACTCGAGGCTTCCTTTGTACCCCTTCAACTCACTCTTTCCTCTTAGTGTTTTGATCTGTTCCTGTTGTTTCTGGGGAGATACCATCACCTCCATCCTTTGGCCATAGGGCCCAGCCTTCCCCTTCACATCTAGCTCTAAGGTGGGCACCGGAGACCTCCACTTCTTTACGCCTTAATCATTCAACCCTGTTACTTGGCTTCTGCTCTTGACCATGCAGTGGTCAGCAAAGTCCTCCTGCCGAGGTCACAGTGATCTCAGTCCTCACGCTCTGCAGATGTCTGCTTTGCAATGTCATCAGCTGCTCCCTGCAAACGCGGGAAGCTGACACACCTTCCCTTTGCTTCTGTAATCCTGGACTGTCCACTTTTCAGTCTTTCCCGGGCAACCCAGAATCCTCCCCCTACTGCCCCTTAGAGGTCCACATTTTTCTGGCTCTTTCCACCTACTGTATGCTTCTCTGGCGAATCTCATCCACTCTCACGGCGTCAGTTATCATTCACACTCAGTGATTTTCCATTCTTCATTTCTAGTTCCGGACTCACTGTCCAGGTGTCCTTTGAACACTTATGCTTGAGCATTTGTGCCGTGGGTACCTTACTGTACCGCCACCACCCGGACACACCCGTGCACACATACCTCGCACACACACTCCGCTCACACTCACAGGCAGAGCCCGCCCCTCTTCTGCCTCTGTTCCCCATCCTAGAAGAGGGACCTCCCCTCCATCTGGTTTCCCAGGGCGTAGCTTTTGGAATCATCTTGATTCTTCTCTTTCCCCTGGAATGAACCAACCACTTCATTCCAAATCCAACTCCTCCCCCTTAATAGCTCCTTCCGCTTTAACACCGTTCCATCTCTTTCCACCTTCCACGGGCTTCACCTGACGGCTTCACGCTACATCTCATTTGAGCCCCTGTTCTATCCACGTCCAACCTAATTTCCACACCCGGCCAGAGGGAACCATCCTAAAAGGCAAAGCTGATTGCATCTCTTCCCTGCAGAAAAAAAAAAAAAAAATTCTACTGGTTCTGGGATTGGTTCTTCCAGGCGCCAAGGTAGGATGCGTATAACCAGACAGGCTCTAGCGGGTTCTGTTGTAATGAGGCGCTGTCTGTGCCCCCAGGCGGACAGAGCTCCTTCCTTTGTTCAGCTGTGGATACTCACTGACCACCCCCTCACACATCACGCATGTGCCATTTACCAAACCTTGTTCCTGTCCCATGAGTACATCTCACATGTTTGTCACCCATGCTAGCAGCATTCCTGGCACACAGCAGTTGCTTTGTTAAGTGTTGGCTGAACCCAGAAGTAATCCAGTGAGTGGTATCTACTGAAGACTAATGGCCCCGCCCCCTTCCCAACTTTAGAATAAAACTCATGGGAACCAATTTTAGAAAAATGATCTTCATGGTCAATGTTTACAGAAAGTGTCTTTTTATCCTCAAAGGCAGAGATAAATTATGCTGAATTATTTTTAGGCCTTCAGAAATCTTGAAGCAACTCACATCTTCATCTGTGAAGATTATGTTAGTAGAAAAATTAACAAAATCAGTCAAGCTCCTAAAGAATTTAGCACAAAAACTAAAGGCATCCTATGAAATCCAATTGTCAAGGAACACATTTTATATGAACATGAGACTTTCACCCACCCACTGCCAGGGCTCCAGAGAGCAGAGACCTGGGCTAACACTTGGGCTGCAGAGGCCACGGGCAGAGCCCGGTGAAGGAGCCCTGGGAGGCCCTGGGCCACGGCAGACACTCGTGGGGAATCCAGGGCCTGTGTGATGTCTGGTGTCCAGTGCGGACATCCTCTTCCAATTCTTGAAACATTATTTCAAAATGCAGGTGGGAAGCCTTGGGCAATCACCCTGATTTTCTGACTCGTAAAGTACATAAGCACCATAGCCTTGACGGGATCGGTCTCCTTTTATTGTGGTAAAATACACATAAACTTTACCAGTGAGTCATGTTTAAGTGCATGGTTTGGCGGTACTGAGCATGTTCATACTGTCATGAAACCATCACGCCGTCCGTATCCAGACCTGTTTCATCTTCCCAAACGGAAACCTTGTCCCCAGGAAATAACACCCCCACCCCTGCCAGTCCTGGCCACCTGCTGCACTGTCTGTCTCTAGGAAAGTGAAATCCTGCTGCATCTGTCCCCACTGCAGAAGGTCCTCAGGGCTCATGGGTGTCAGCCCAGGGTCCAAATTCCTTCCTTTTCAGGGCCTATCAATATTCCATTTTGTGCACACAGCACACCATGTTTATCCATCATGCGCTTGGAGGGCTGAACTCCCATCCTGCTGTCACACTCTTGCTGTCAGCTGTGTGCTGGGAACAGAGAGATGCTCCACTTGGATGCTGAGTTTGAGACACAGCCAAAGACATAGCCAGCTGGGAAGGAACTACATTTGCCAGCCTCGATCCAGGGCTTCAGGGCTGTGTGAACCACCCAGGTTAAGTTATGAAAGTGCAGACTCAGGCTCTCGTCGCACCATGGGGATGACCTGGCAGAAGCCGACAGCACTCCCTGGGTTCTCTTTAAACTGGGAAAGCCTCTGGGCTGGTCCTCTGCACAAAGCTGCTGCCCTGAAACCCCATGGACTCAGGGAACAGGCTGCAGCCAGCTCCAATTCAAGTGACGGGGTTTCTGCTGCAGCCCGCGTCCTCGCTCTGCTGGTCATCCCTGGTCAGCGAGGGGAGCCCGTCCTCCCTGTCTTTTCACGGGTCGTTTCCTTTCCTGGCCCTCCGAGGTCCTTGCCCTGCTCTGCTCCATATCCAGAGCCGCCTGTCCCAGCTTTCCTGCCTCCTACCACCTCCTGCCAGGCTGCCACACCAGGGGGCTCTGGTGACACTACCCACTCACCAGCCCCGGGGCCCTGGGCCTTTGGGAGTCCTTTCTGCTCTATGATCTCTAGCAAGTGTCTGCCAAGTGCCCGGGACATCAGCTCTCTCCCATTCTTTTCTCGTCCACACCCAGGAACACGGGGAGCCCTCCCTCTAGGCCCCTAGCTCTAGGGCGGAGCTTCCAGCCAGCACACCACCCTCCACAGAGAGGTCCTGCCCCACGTGTGACCCCTTCCTTCTCCATGGCACTCACTGCCAGCCCCAGGCTGAGGCTCGGTTCCTCTAGAGAAGGTCGTCCCCTCATTGGAACCCAGGCTCAGGGGCTGGTGCGCTGCTCCCAGGCCTGGGTGTCTGCCCTCCCCGCCCCTGCAGTGGGCTGGGGCTCTGCTGGCATCCCGCCTCCTGCTCGAGCAGGCTCACCTGAGTGTTCTTCTGCTACCATCAAGAGCGTGAGCTCCCGGGGGCAGAAACCATGCAGTGCAGCCCGACTCTCGCCACTTAGATCAACACTGTGCTGAGCACAAGTCGCGGTTGAATGAACAACAAGAATGGTGACGGTGCGTTCCTGCCTGGCAAACACATCTTTCCCCAAAGATAACAACATTACGGGTGGAATTGTGTCCGCTAAGATGTGTTGACCTTTAACCCCCAGTACCTGTGACTTTGATCTTATTTAAAATAAAGTTTTTGTAGATGAAATTGGGTTGGGGTGACGTCATTAGGTGGGCCCTAATCCAACATGACTGGTGTCCTCATAAGAGGAGAAAAAGTGGACCCACAGACACAGAGGGAAGATGGCCCTGGGAAGATGCAGGTGGGGGCTGTAAAGGTGCCACCACAAGCCAAGGAACACCAAGACTGCCAGAGTCGCCGGGGCTGGCGGGGAGTGTGCCCTGCTGCAACCTTGCTTCTGGGCTTCAGAACTGTGAGACCACACGTTACTGCTGCTTGAAGCCACCCAGTTGTGGCACAGTTCTCTCTCCATATCTATAGGTGCACCAACCATAGGTTGAAAATATTTGAAAAACATTGCATCTGTACAGAATGTTGCAGACTCCCCTGGCCACTATCCCTGAACAACAGAGCAGGACAACGATTCGCACAGCATTTACGTGGTGTCAGCGATAACGAGTAATCTAGAGGCAACTAAGAAAACAGGCAGAGGTGCACAGGCGCCGTGCAGACACTACCCCTCTCCACAGGAGGGACTTGAGCGTCAGAGGATTTTGGTGTCTTCAGTGGGTCCTCAAACCTCCCTGTGGACATGGAGGGAGGACTGTACTTTGCTACTGCAGCCCCAGGAAACCCACAGTAGTGGCTTCCATCCACGTAGGTGGACTTTAGTGGTGCTTCTTGGTTCCTTGCTGGGCACAATGGGTCTCTGGTGTCTACCCTGAGCTACACAGGCTGCAGCAGCGGGTAGGGTCTCTGTGCTCAGGGATGCATCTGGGTTGACATGGAGAAGGTGTAAGGGGAGCCCCCCTGTGCCCCTCCTTCTCAGCGAGTCCTCTGAAGGCCACAAGGACAGCCCTTACCCACTCCATACTGAGAAGTTCCCTTTCCAAGAGGGCAACCCGAGTCAGATGGTGTCAGACTTTAAATCGTATCGCTCTAGAATACAATCCCCCTACCTTTGGTTTTGATTTGCTTTGACTCTGACACTTTATTTTAGTATCTCAGTCAAGGTAAATTCAAATAAAGCTTTCAAGGGTGATTTTTAAGAACTGAGAGGAACAGAAAACTTTTCCTGGCCACGTTTCCAGTGGAGCAGATTTACCCTTTCTTGAGTTTCCATGTCCCTACTGGACCCTCACTGGTTCCCCTCAGCCTGTGACTTATGATAAAATAAGTCACAAATGCCAGCCTTGCACTTTCTCAGTCTTGGCTGGCGAACCAGACTGACCAGAGCGTGGGGAAAGCCACCAGCCTGTCCTTCCTGACACCCCAGCCCTCCCTCCGGAGAAGAGCCCAGACTTACGGTTCTGGAGGGAGCGTGGTGTGTGGGCGAGGCCAGCGGGGGCCTGGAGGGACTCTGGAAGGCCAGGCAGAACCGCTGGCCGGTGTCCGGGGGAGAAGAGGAGGCATAGATGCGGTTTTCCAAGCGCTCTGGCTCTTGCTTGTAGGACTCGAGGGGAAATGTGTGCTGCTTGGTCACTTGGGTGGGTGTCGATGGAGAAGAGGAGACACTGGAGGCTGTGGGGAGCAGACGACAGAGGCCATTAGGAGTGTGGCCCAGGAGGAGGCAGAGCAGGCACTTCTGCTCCCAAGTGCCAAGACCCTCCGATGGCAAAACCTGCATCATTAAGTTCTGATACGAGAGAAGAGCACTGGCGAACCCTTTGCTAGTCTCTTGGAATCGCTGGGTCTAGGAAGGCCCTCACCACCCATGCTGGCTTGGGCGGCTCCCTCTTGTGGGGCTGTGGTCCTGACGCCATGGGGAGCGGGTGCAGGCTTCCCCAGCTCTCTCCTTCCACTCAGGTACCCGCCCTCCTCGCCTCCCCTACCACAAGCCGAGAGATGTGGCCGATTGATTGAGGCGGCTCATAGGGAAGTTCACAAAAATGTTCAGTAGAGAGCAAGGTCGATGTTGGCAGAAGTCACATGACAGAGTCACAAAGAAGCACAGGAGGCATGCGCCAATGAGATGTGTGCACCTCTGAGAGGACACAGCACGGTGTCAGTGCGCTGTGAACCCGAGAAGATTTTGGGGAGGAAGCGTGGCTGGAAAGGGGCCTTGAAAAGCAAAGATCTAGAGGGACAGGAGTAGGGAGGAGAAGAGTGGGGGGAGGCAATGGGATCAATAAGGAAGTACAGGGAGTCTGTGGACAGGAATCTGCCAGGAGTAAACAGTGTCCCCTTCAGCAGGCCTCCAGCTCTCCTGGGGCCTGTCTATAGCAGGCATCCATTGCTCACATCCAGTGGACGTAACAACATAACAGTTATGGGTTGAACTGTGTCCCTAGAAACCTACACTGAAGTCCTAATCCCTGGTACCTGTGGATGTGACCTCACCTAGAAGTAGGGTTTCTGCAGATATTTCTCGTGTTTTATAGTTAAGCCCATAAAATGTTAAAGTAAAATTCAAATTATGGAAGTCAAGCCAAAGATGTCAACAGGCATGGCCCAAGGGCCTCCCTGTGCAACTGTGGCCTTGACAAGGATGGGTCAACCACGGAGTCCTACACCAGCTCCCATGGTCCCAACTTCTGCCCAGACCTTGACCCATGTGCACCCGCTCGGCTGCCATCTCCCGGTCCCCTAGAGGGCTCTGTCAGCAAATGATGCTTCCACACTCAAACCGACACAGCGAGACCCCTCCCCAGCAGGCCCCACCCCTGTCTTTGGGCCAGGGTACCTGCCCACACCCTTCAGCCCCCACAGCACCCCTTGTCCTGGTGCAGGGAAGGGGTTGGGCAAGTCCACAGCCCTGCAGGGAGGGAAGGTTTGAGTCCTCTCTCTTTCTCCATGCCGAGTTGGGGACACATCTCCCGGTGGGAGCTTTGGAGGGGACCTATTTAAAGGAGCGTCCTTCTAGGGAACCCTATGTAAGGTGGAGCAATGCCAAATATCGAGAACGCAAGAGGTCTCTAACTCTCTTGAAAAATCAAGATTTTCCCCAACGGTCTAGAGAAGCAAGCCCTGTTCTGTTCCCCCACCCCCCCTTTTGTACTGGGGACGGAACCCGGGGTCTTACCCATGCTGGGGAAGTGGTCTCCCACGGAGCTCCATTCTGCATTGAGGATGGACGTGGGTGCTTTCCAGAGGGGCCCAGGATTTAGAGGTCCCTGGGGCCAGCCCCTTTCTCTACACAGGAGGATCCCGAAGATCCTGGGCCCCTGAGCTGCCACAGCAGGGACTGATGGCAAAAAAGACTCTGCCCCTCCCCCATTCTGCTCACCCTGTGGCGGGGGTGGGGGTGGGGGGGGAGTGCGAGGGGGGAAGAAGAGAGGGAGATCTGCTCCAGCTCAGTGTGCATGGTGGGGGGCCTGGTGTGGCAGGAGGGCCACGGAAGGGAGCCCTGCCCATTGGCCTTCCCTGGGCCAGGCCCCAGCTGGGGGGCACCAGCGCCCCCTGTGATGCCCACAGAGCTGTGAGGAATGTTGACTTTGCCAAGGCAGGGGTGCCCGGGCCTTTCAGAGGGCTCTGCTGGAGGCCAGAGCAGAAGGCTTCTGGTTGCTTTGTTTGCAGAGCAGGCCAATGGGGCCTCAGACCTCCGCGGGCAGTGGCTGTCCTTCAAGGCCCATTGCAGAGACAGAGCCCTCAGCAGGGGCACCATCCTGGACCCTCCCAGTGTGGAAGAACTGGCTGGTTCCAGGAAAGTTCTGATCCTCACTCTCTCAACTGACACGTCCACTGGACAGACAGCCCCTTCCTTGGTGCTCCCTGTGGGCAGCTGTGTGGAATGTGATGGGGCAGACAGAACAGGAAGGGTCAGGTGCGTGAGCCACAGAAACCTCTGCCACCACCCGCTCCAGCCATCTGCAGCAGCAGCTCAGGGGCCTAGGATCTTCATGTGTAGAGAAAGGGGCTGGCCCCTGTGGAAAGCACCCATGTCCATCCTCAGGCAGGGAAGTCCAACCTCCCTCCTGCTGCCATCTCTCCAGGCCCAGCTCAGACCTTCTGGCCCAAACCACGCCCATGCGGACACTTCCAGAGCCCTGGAGGGACGCGCCTCGGACGAGGGAGGCGTTCTGTCAACACCTATCAGAGCTGCAAACGCGCAGGTTCTGTTCCACAGCGTCTTCCCCTGCTGTGCTGCATCCTTGCCAGGAGGTGCACATTACCAGGGGGTGCTCAAAAGCAGAGCCTGGAGACCCAGCTCCTCCCTGGAGAGAAGAGGTTAAAGAAATCATGGCCCCTCCTCACCGCGGCAGCAGAGGCCCCATGGGAACGTGACAAGCCTCCTTGTCCTCTCCCTGTGAGACAGAGAGGTAAGAGGCGTCCGTAGAGAATGACGCTGTTTGTAGAGTCAAAGGAGGGACAGAGGAGTTCCTGCACAGAGCTCACATCCTGCCTGTCTGCAGGTGTCAACAGCAGCATCCCTGGAACCATCCAGAGGCACTGGCTGTCTCCAGGGAAGGAACACCTGGCAGGGATGTTCGTCGGATCCCTTCCCTGTTTTATACACTGACATCCGGGGTCTGTGGTTTCTGTTCTGAAAGTTACTTTTTCCAGCCACTGCTTTACAATTGAGCAGAGGGCCAACGCCCCACCCCGCATGATGCCCACATTTAAGAGCATGCCTGCCTCCTGCTGGAGCCCCCCAGCTCTGCACGCGCCCAGGGAGCTCACTGCTGTTCCATGAGCGGGTCCGCCCTCCCTCCCTCTCGTTCTACACCTCTGTCTGTCTGCTGTCTGTCTGTCTGCGAGAAGATATCCCATTTACGACATTCTCAGGGAGAGAGCCAGTTACTGCCTTCAAGGGACTTTGCCACTGGAGACAGATCAAGTAGGGGCTGTTCACGCATGTGGACACTATCTTTTCATTAGGAGGATGTTGTCCTAGGAAAGGACTGTGGGGCAGGTGAAAATCATATTCCTGAGCTTTTTTCTGTTTTAAATATTGGTGTCATGGTTAATAAATAAAGGGGAAAGTGGGGTGATACTGCTACGAGTTCCCCATAACTTTTAACTAGACCAGCTCATTCCTTCATGGTGGGGGAACTGTCAACTCCTGGGCAAGCCGTGTGTCTGCTCAGCAGGTGCCCAGGGCCAAGCTTGGTGCAGGTGCATAAGAGGGATCCCACTGAGGTGAACTGGACCAAGCCCCACCCTTCTGGGCCATTGGAGAAAATGGGACAAGAACAAAACCAAAAGCAGACCCAGCACCACAATGCAATAGCACTGATGTCAAGTGCAGCACCCACACCGGGGCAGGAGGGAGAGCAGCGTCTGGGTGTGAGGTCTCCAGGTGTCTCCACGAGCCTCCCACAGCCCAGAGGCCGGGAGGCTCACGGAGACTCCCGGAGGAGCTCGGCCTCCACCCAGCACTGGCCCCAGCAGAACTGGGCAGCAGCAACGGTAACCTAAGAAGGCTCTTGGGACAGGCAGGTTCCCCCACTTGGTTTCTTCCAAGACGGCACCCCCTTCCTCTGCTGCTTGAGGACTTTGTGCAGGGCTGCCGTCAGCCTGGGGATGGACAATGCTTTGATTCTCCCGGCCGCGCCAGGCCCTGTGAATAGGCCCAGTGAGTGAACAGAAACTGCTCCTGGCAGCCGCACAGAACACCACGCAAGTGGCTCCAGACACCAGGGAGCCATGAGCTGGTGACTTCACAGGGCCTGGCTGGCCGTGCTGGCAGGAGCTGCGTCTGGAGAAAAGGGGGAGGAGAAGGGAGGACAGAGGTGCCACTGGACAGAAGTGAAGCCAGCCTGGAGACAGAGAGGCCTGCAGGGGGAAACAGAGGCCTGGATTTCAGAAGCCCCAAGCTCCGAGCCTGGCTCGACCACTAACTGGCCATAGGCCCCTGAGCAAACCAACTCCTTGCTTTGGGAAAAAAAAGAAGCCAGGTAGACCAGATGGTCACACGGGTGTGCTGGGCCCCTCTACTGTGTGAATGGAAGGAGCCGGAGCCAGCGGCTGCGGCAGGCTTCTCACGCGTCTCACGCACACAGGCCGGAGCGAGAAGGAAGGAGGACAAACCACACTTTTCTGACTGTTGTTCCCAGGGGCATGGAGAAGAGACTCCAGCACGCCCTGGGGGGGTGGGGGTTGTTTACATGGGGTTTAAACTGCCAACCACTCATCACAGAGATGAGAGGGTTGGTGCTGTCAGTTGGAAAGGATAATGACAGGAGCCATCGAGGGGATGGTGCCATGAGGGGTGACAAACAAAAGTGCCTCAGCCAGAGAGAGAGTGCAATCCTTGCTGTGCCACAGTTCAGAAGGGACTTTAACTGCCAGACACAGAATCATCGTGCGGTGTGTGTAAAGCTGGGCTCCAGGTGGGTGTGGCAGCACAGCTAGCCACTCGCTGTGTCTGCGCAGGAGCAAACGCTCCACGTCCACCTTCAACCTTTGGCTTCCCTGCTGCCCTTCTGCCTGGCTATCCCCTGCTCCTACCACGCTGGCCCTCACCCCTTCATTCTTTGCCATCTCTGCCAGCTTGGTGTCCTAGGGACCGCCCGTGGATGCTGCAGCGGGGACTCCTGGGGCGCAGCTCCAGCGAGGCTTTGGGCTGGAGATGGGAGGGG